CTACATTTTCTGGTGAAAGTTAATGAAGGAAATTAAACAATTACTGAAGTTTTCTTTATCATAATCATAATCATTCATCTTTGGGAAGGATTTTTATCTATCAGCATGAAATAAGAAAGATAGAAAGAATGTTGCTAGACATGCACATAAATGAGAATACATTATATATCCTAGTCGAATAAACGGAAGTCCATCATGTATAGAATCATGAACTTTTTAACTAATAATTTACTATGTGTGTTTTTTTTTCTATTCTCATAATAATTGCCTTAGAGCTGAATATTTTTTTTTTCAGAGAACAGCCTATAGTTTAGTTTGTATGTCTGTCATTCTCTTGAGCATTTCATCTATTACTTAACTATCCACCTCATGACATTCATTCATTCTACAACTATTGAAGAATAATGTTAGTTTTCATTATTTACTTTTTCCCGTTTTTTTTCTTCTTTTCTTCTATTGATTTTAGTTTAAAGAGTTTAAGATAACTATTATAAATGAGATATATCGTTGTATTCGAGAATAATTTTTAATTTCAATCAAATCTTCTCTTATTCACTTTGATATGCATTCGAGAAAAAAAGGAGAACATATTTAACAAATAAAAACAATTAAACAGATTTTTAGTCTAAATCATAGTGTCTGAGCATGTAGATAGTTTATTTGTTTCAATTGAATAAAATGGAGCTGAAAATGATCAAAGAATCGTTATTATTATCTTTCATAAAATAGATTTTTAAAATAAAAGTCGATAAGTAACTATCATTATTGATTGAGATATTATGTGCAATAAAAAATAAAAAAAAAAAGAATTCTTTCCTTGTTCAATATATGAATTTAAATTGTGATTGCCTAGACATTTATTTTTTCTTTTAAAATAAAAAAAAAAAGACGTGTTTTTTAGTTTTTTTTTTCAGGCTATAAATGTTCTATAATATAAAATTACCGCCTCGAATAATTGATGTTCACGCGTTTTAATAGTTATTACTATTATTTCATCTAGGTTGAGAATTATGTAGGTGTCTGTCTCGAAGGGGATCAACTTAAAACAATATTTGTAATTAATAGTAAAAGGCAAGTCTTTGATCTCTTTTTTTTTCATATATATATATATACGTAAGACATTTGTATATTGATCGTGGAATAAATTAGTTAGTTATTTCTTGAAATAATCTTTTGAATGAATTAGAAAATAAGATAAGCAGGAAACACATATAGACACGAATGTATGTGACAGACATATTTCTGTTTCCGCATTTTTTTTTCTTTTATATTTCTTCGATCTAACAGTATGTGTGAAATAATCCTATACTAAGATCACTTTTACACTAATGAGTTTCCTGAGCTTATGTTTCTTCTATATTATTTGTTATCTTCTTTTCCCAAGTTAAGATAAGTTCTTCGTTGAATAGACAAGCATGTATTGCTTATAGCCATTCTCATATTCATATAACTATATATTTTCTCGTTTTTTGTCTTTTCTTCTTCTTACACATATTCTGTTTTTCACCATCATTAAGAATAGCATCAATAATAGAGACGAACAGGCAATGTAAACTAATCAACATTAAAAAAAACACAGACATAGAATACAATATATTTTACATCCTAATACAGTTATATCATATTGTTTTCTTTCTTTTTTGTTTTTCGTGCTCTTCATATATTATTGTCATTCTTACTATTTATCTGATTGGTAAGATCTTTTTTTTTTGCGTGTAAAAGCGATGATGAGCACGATAATTCTGCTTCAAAAGTTATCAACAGGCTAATCAAATCTGACTTGCCATTGTCTCAGAAGGAGGAGCAAAAAAAATGCGAAGAAAAAGAAAAGATTTAAATGACAAATGATGATCATTTGCTTGACTAGATGAACATGCCGAGCAAGTCAGCAATAATAGAAAAAAAGAAAGAAAACCTTTCTTGTGTTGAGCATAACCAATTAAGATTATTGTTTGTATCGCATAGTTTGATTATTGTAGGTCGTCCTTATCCTTTTTCATATTCATTTCCTCTTCATTGCCATCATCATTATTTTATTTATCGCAATGAAACCTCAAGTATTTACCTTTATATTATTTACCATTGGCGCTCTTTTGTTTCAAACAGCATATCAGGTAATTTAGCATTAAAAAAATAGGAAACGATCTATGAATTAATATATTTAATTTGTTTATCTAGTACCGTCTCCAAAAACGTGAATTAACCGAATATGATGTATGTATATCAAATGAGTTTATTCTTTGTTGTTGTTTTTCTTAAATAAAATATTTGTTCGTACATAGTTAACCAGTTTTATTGTCAATACATGCTCTGCCGACAATATCGATATGCTTATCCAAAACCTTTGTGATCAAACATTACAATCGGCACTTATGGGCGTAAGTATTTTTTTTTTCTCGATTTTCTTTTAAATAAAAATACATATCATGAACAATACTAATTATCCTAGAGTATTATGTAGAAAAACTAAATGAGTTCATTTTGTTGATTATACATTAACATTAGATCATATTTGACTTTTTCTTATTTAGAATTTTCCATTTTTGACATATTATTGTAAAATGGTCGGTTCTGGAAATAGATATTGTGACAATATCAACCGACATACATTGGCAAAGCAGAATATTGAAGCCAAGGTAATTTATAAAAAAACAAAAAAAGGATTAATTTTAAATTTTTATTTTCAAAATAGAGATTAATGTCTCGTCGATTTGCACGAAGTCCTTATAAAAAGAATGAATTATATCAAAATCAAGAAGAGACGGATACAGATATAGACGTATGTTTAGTTATAAAAAAAATTAAATAAATATTTACACTATAAGAAAATTCTTTTTCTTTTTTAGCTCAAACAAAAAATGATTCTAGAAATGTGTCTGACTAATCCGGAAAAAAATTCTATAGAAACACATCGGTTTTGTAATCAAACATTAAAGGATATTCGGCGAGGAGTATGATAAATTATAATCTTTAAATCTCTTTTTATCTATTATTATTAAATGGCTTTTTTTTTTCTTTTCTTTTTATCTATTTATTATCTAGCGATACCCTGAAATTAAACGTCTTTGCAAATCTCATTCTGGTTTTGACTATTGCCAACGTGTTCTGTCATTTTCATCATTATTCTCTTGGCCATTATCAAAAGAATCGACATCTCTTTTATCATCATTACCTTCTACGACACCTTATATTTATCTTTCGTCCGTTCCATTAGAATTCTCAAAATTGTCTGACGTCGAATCGGTCACCGATCAACGAAGGATGAATAAAAACACAAAAAAATCACCATTATCATAATCGACAAAAAAAATCGATGTGTAAAGGAATCTTTTGCTCTAATCATTCTCTAAGTTCTTCACAGACGTCATCATCATGTCAAAAAGAGAATATAATAAAGAAGCCGAAGTACAGCAAAACATGTAAAAAAAAAAATTCTCTATCTAAAAAAAGCAAATATTCTTTTCGTTTCAATGTGTCGAAAATTCGTCTCTTATTAATATTGATTATCTGCATATGTTGTTTTGTTCGTTTGAATTTAAATAACAATAAGAATTTAAAAAAAAAACACACACAGAGTAATATATAAAATAATATAAATCGTCATTTCTTTGTTCGAGTCATCCTCCGGTATTTAAGCTTTATGAGATTTGAATGAACAGTCATAAAGATTGAATACCAAAGAGGCAACTCGTACAAGTATTTGAGTAAAAACATGTTAACATCATTAATCTTCGGATATCTATAGTTTGACAGCATACATACTCGTTAGTATACGATTAAAATACTTCTGTTGGAAGAAAAATATAAATACAAAAGAAAATATAGAGTAAGACACAGCAGGCGACAACCATCATTTAGTGAAGTGACGAAGCATATTGAAATACGTCTTACATTTTTTTTTCTCTACTGCTTGTTCGTCATTATAATCATCAACATTCGTCATTAAATACAGTCTCAGAGAAAAAAAACCTATGCAGCTTTCATCTCTTGTCGACCACACTACGTGTGTTCAACTACTTTACAATTGTAATACATAAATACATATATATATATACCTGATCGTTTCTATATATTTTCGTTGACAGCATCTCTTTCTTTCAATCGACATTGTTTAAAAGAATTCTTTCTATTTTCTTTTTCATATTCTAGTACATATATTTGAATGGTGAGAAAAAAAAAGAATTTAATTTCGTTCTTTCAATACAATAGGTAATCATAATTGTCGTAAATAGCACGTTAGACATCAAAAGACTAGTATATGATTGTTCCTAAATATTGAATTTAATACGACAAATGTATTATACATACATTGGCATGTAATCAAAAAGAATGAATACGACAGAATAATAATCACGTTTATTGTTTCTTGATTCAAATACATTTATTGAATAGAGAAACAGAGAATACATTGCTTACAAATGAAGAAAAAAAAAACATATGGAATAGCGAATTCACTTTTGATATACATACACATAATACTAAATTTTCAATGCAGAAAGGAATGACATAATATTTCGAGTATTCGAGCACTAATAGCAACATCAATATAAAAAAAAGAAGAAGGAGAGGAAGGAAGTTTAAAACCCCGATTACAAACATTTTGTGTTAATGTATATCTTAGTTAACCAAAGAGAAAGAAAAATGTTTTATTGTCAATGCTATCGTTTGAGCAAATTCATGATATGCAAAAGAAATATTTAAAGATTCAGAAATTCAAAAAGATTCGTTTGTTTTGTTCTTAACTCCACAAATCAAAAGAAAAAGAAAAAGAAAGAAGACAAATAAAAAAAAAATGTATTTTGCTGTTTAGGTTATTGAGAGAATAAGTATTGCAAATATAGAAAAAGATGAGCAAAAATTACATATTAAAAAATGTCTTAAATATGAGATAGAAACGATTGAATTGAAAATTTTTCACGATGATGATGTATTCAGAGATTTTCTACAATAAAAACAACAAATAATATATATGTAAAATAATATTTCTTTTTATTTTTTCCTTACTGTAATGATCTATGTTTTTCTTTTTCACCGATACTTGCTGGTGGTTCACATGCAAATGAAGCAAGCATTAGAGCTATACAAAAAAAAACAATTAATAACTAAAATGAAATAATAATTTAAATATAAGATTTACAATCTTCATTGAATGTTGGAGACGTAATAATATAATTAATAATGACATCGTTACGTTCAAATGAACACTACAAAAGAAAAATGATACGAGAGTAATTAGAGAACATAGTCAAAAGAATATTAATTGATAGGTTTTATTTGCTCATGAAACAATAGTAGATTAAGAAATATCATCATATTAGTTCACTATGTCACAATAAAAATCCAATTTCGTGATTTTATTGATCTTATTTCTTGGCTACTAAAGATAAAATATTCAATTATAGAAAAGACATAATTCGATCAGAGACTGAATAAATGTCTTCTATTAGTACTAACAAATTCAAAAACAACTTGGTAATTTTCCTAGGTAATAACGAGTAATTTTCAATTATTAAGTGCATATGCACCCACACATACATTCTCTTTCGTGGCAAACATTCATGTGCATAAAAATCTAATGGTTTTTCGATAATACAAAAGTAGATAAATATACTCGATTACAAAAAGCAACTAGATCAATAATTTCTCGGTTCTATATGAAAAAATTCTATATATAGCATTATGAATGTTAATTTACATTGAGAAAGCGATAAAGTAGATGATTATTTTATGAATATGGACAAGTGTAAATCTCTAGAGAGTTTTGTCTCAATTAGATATTTCACTCGAGTATTGAGAACAAATTAATCTTTAAGAGTGCAAATCATAATAGTTGATATATTATTAAGAAAATAACAAATTAATGTCGTACTTTACTCTGTTTGCATTTTACAAATTCTTCAGAAATAAATTTAGCCATTGAATAATATTTCTGAAAAATAAAGAATTTTTTTTTGTATTTTTATTGATTAAAAATAAATAGAAAAAAAAAGAAAAACCTTTAAATTAATTCCACCAGCTGTTGTATAATCTTTACTGTGTGTTTTTATAAAATAAACATCTTGTAAAACAATACTAGTAAATGGTATAACAATTTTGTCTGTTTTCCAACCATATTTTTCTGCTTCTTCCATAGCTACTTTAAGTGTAAGACGATATGTAGCAAAATTTTTTGATACATTTATATATTGCTCAAGTTGTTGAAATTTTTCCATTTGAACTTTTCCCCACTAAAAATTATTCGATTTATATTTTTAAAATTATATAATATTTAAAATAATTTATTTTTATTTACAGTTCTTTTTAATCGTCTTATAGGTTGCATATTTAAACCACCTAAACAATAAATTTCATATTTTTAATTTTAACTTTATATAAAAACAAATCTTTGACTATATTTAAATACATTGTAGAAGATTCACAAATAGTATATTAGAATGACAGGACTCAAAAAAAAAATATTGTCGAGAGGCAAAAATATTATTTTTCTCAAGACAAATCTGTTTCCTGTAGACATCAAATAAACTCTATAAATATATAGTACTTGAGAGTGATCTCTACTCTATGAAATGGCTCAACAATGGAAAGTTTGAGTTAATCCACTAAAAACGTAGTACAGGTTTTATAGAAGATCATTGTATTTTGAAAAGATGAAAATAAAAAAAAATTGGTTCTTTAAAAATCGTTACTGTATCTTAACAATTTACAAAAAATTTATCGCTTTGTAGAGAATTATTTTCTGTATCTTTTAATATGTTCGATGAAATTCCATGGTATGTTTCAAGCAAGTTTCATTTGAGGTTTTTTCTTTACAAAATTTTCTTTTTGGGTCTTTTTAAGATTCATTTATTGGTCAAAAGTCATAGAAATACTCTAAGTATATGTTTCTGAAAGAGCACAAAATTCTCATTGTTTTACAATTCATATAAATATAGTCAAATATATTATCTAGAAATGTTTCTAGCGACCTCTTATATTGTCTAATAGTCACAAAAAAAAAGTTTGATCGGTTAGTTTTCAAATTTTAAACAAATGTCTAGTTGATTTTATCTATATAATGAAAATTTATCGTACGTTTTCAAAGTTAATGATAAATACTTCTTGTTTATTATCATTTTTTGTTATTCAGTTGTAAATAGATATATATTTTCAGCTTGTTTTTTCATTACTAATAATACTCTTTGGATTAGATTTAATCAAAAGACTTTTGATATAGTATTAATATTTGTATTATTTAGACCAGATATTTGATTTAATGAACAAATCTATAATCTTATCATAATATTATGTATGTTCTATGAAAATTGTCACATGCTATTGCACAATTATTAGATGAATTTTAATAGCAAAAACAAAAAAAAATACAGAGATAAAAGATAGTAGTTTAAATAAGTCAACTGTTTACGAAAGATCTTTCAAGACTTTTATAAATCATCATGTATGTATGTATTTGTATTAAGAAGAATAAATTATCGTTTTGGAATTTTTATAAGACTTATTGTAAAATTTGAGTTTTTTTTAGTCAACATGAAAAAATATTCTGAGAAGAAAATTGAAAAATTTCTTACCAAGTATTCCAATCATAGAATTAAAATTTTGTATACGAAAACATTCATAAGCAGCATCAATAAAATAATTAATTAATCGTACACGTGAACGTCTTTGTGTATGTTTAACAATTTCCGTTGTAATAAAAAATGTTAACCGATTAAACCATTGTATATAAGCTTCAAGACAAAATGTTAATTTTTTATCATGTATTAAATTTTTAGATTTATTATTTGAATTATCAATATCATTTAATGATGATTCAACTTGATGCATTTTATTTGGATGTGCACGAACTTCTTCAGATGCTAATTTCATTATAAAATATTGTATTAATTCTTCAGCACCAACTGGTTTTAATCTATCCTACAAAAATTAACAAATTAAAATAAAATCTAAAACATAATCGAATTATTCAAAATAATACCAGTTCAATATGAGTTAATTGTTGAGCAAATAATATTGGTGTTGAACATTCATTTATAATGTCCGTCTACGAAAAAATCTTATTTTCTTTTTTTTTTGTTTTGTTTTAAATAGAATAATTAACTTACAACTAATGCTGATTGATTTAGACTAGTCATTGCTTTTTTATTTAATTGTCGAATATATTCTTCATAATTATCTAATGCTTTAAGCTAAAAAGAAAATAAAAGAATATAATGTAAGGTTGGTTTTTGTTTTTGTTTTCTTTTATTTCGTTTAGTTGTTAAATATACTTTTGAACGAAGTTTTTTGTAAATATAATGTACATCTGATTGAAAAGTTGATTCAAAAGAAGTTATTTTTTTAAAAAGATCTTCAATTTGTGACATCATTTCACTATTACGAAAATCATATGGAAATGTTCGTGTCCATTGTGATAAAACATAAAGAAAATTATTCATTGTTCGAATACTTTGATCCTTTTGAAAAAGAAAAAAGTTTAAATTAATATTAAAATTAAAATTTTTGCTTTTTTTTTAAACATACGAATGTTAAATTAACTACTGATTTTATTGTTAAACGTGCTAAATGATTAAATAACAAACTTGGTCGAATATTCATTCGTGAACATAAAAGCATTGGATAAATAAATGATTGCTAGATTAAGAAAAAAAAACAATCGAGAAATTCAATACAAAGATGAAGAAAAAAGATAAACAAAAAAAGAAATTTCTGTTTTCAAACCTTTGGAATATAAGAATCAGTAGGTACTAATCGTCGAATAAGTGAATCCATTGAATAATGTAGATAATCAAGTGGTGGATCATCATCACTTGTTACTTGATTAGATAATGAATAATCAAACATTGGTATTGGAGTAAATGTTGATGGAGTTGATATTGGTGGCTAAAATAAAAAGCAAAGGACAAATTTATAGAGATAATCTCAATTTCACTATATGTCCTTTGATTATTTGTTTAAAAATAGATTAGATATTCATTGTTCTTTCAAATTATAAAATTAAACGACATGAACATTGCTATTTATGTCTTGTAAGTAGTGATCAGTGGAATTAATAGTTTTTGGTTCTGGTTTGAGCTCGTCGGGTTTAAAGTTTTCAAAGCCGGATCTGATCAACAGAAAGTTCTCAGTCCTAGTCGAGATTAAAAAATGATCCTAATCAGAAAAATATTTGGTTCTAGTTTCGCGCTTAGTAACACATGTTCCAGCGAAAAATTCTATCATTTCTAGCCAAGTCTAATTTGACTTTTAACATTACAAATTAGTCTCGTTTTCATTAATATATGCGCAAAATCGTTCATTAGCGAGATGATGTTACAAAATTAAAACACATATATCTCGAGATAATGAATTTTCCTAGAGCTAATTTTTTTTATAGTAAATTACTCGAGATACCCTGGAAAAATCAGCACTAGTAGCATTTATCCAGAGGAGTTATTAGTAAAAAAACTAATATTAATAAAAGAACATCGAATTTGACATCATGCCTGTTAGTTTTAAAAAAAGAACTCTAAGATGAGACAAAAAGTAAATATTATATTCTGTAGACAACTCCCGAGGCTACAAAGTCTTTATGGAAAGTTTTTTTTTTCTGAGAACCCCTAGATTTTTCAAAAAAAATGAATTTATTTTTCGTTAGCAATCCAATGGAATACGAATATACAAACAAAAAAATGCTCATAGCATTGAAAGAGACAACATTTTGGATAAAATGTCTGAATGAATTTTTTTTGTCAACTTCATTCTCTAAAAAAAAATCTAATGAATTACTTGAAGTATAGTTGTTTGTCCATTTGTTTTAGCTGCTGGTATAACTAAAAAGGTTGATTCCGTTTGACCATGAGGTATGGCAGGTGTTGGTTGTCTAGATGGATCTGGTGATAATGAATTATTATGTTGATGATGCATTGTTGAATTAGTTGTATTTGTTGATGTAGAATTGTTATGTTGAAATATAGGAATATTTGTTCGAACTTGAGCATGAATATGATCATAATATGCTGTTGAAGATAATGCATCATTTTCAAAATTATATACACTTAGATTAGTTGATGGTTGTTGTTTTTGTATATTATTATTATTATTATCATGTTGAGAAAAATTATTTGGTTTTATTGGTAATGGTTTAAATGTTTGTTCAGAATTAATATTATTACGTTTAGTAGATAAACATGATTGATTCATATGAACATTTGGTGTAAATGTAGAAGGATATTGATCATTAGAAGATGTTTTAATTGGATTATTACCAATATAATAGCTGGTTGACATATCATGACTATCCGTTGTACCATTCATGACAAGCTGTGAAATAAACAAAAGAAAAAGGAACAGAAAGAAAGAAATAAGGTTAATTAGTATTTTTGTTCTTCATTTTGTAAAACAAAACAAAACAATAATTATTGTCTATTGATACAAAGAAAAAAAAAGTAAAACAAAAAACAAAAAAATCATTTCATTCACTTAAAAACACGAATTATTCTTCGTTGTTTTCATATCAAATGCATATATATATATATCTACACACAGAAAGCATTAAAAAACACGACAATATTAAAAAAATGGACGGATTAAAAAAAAAAAAATGAAAATTGATATCAATGATATTTTGAGCGTTTGTCACTGAGATTAGACGATCTCATATCTCGACTTGCTCCGTTAGTACTTGCAGTAGCACTTGTTTCTTCTGACCTGTCTGAAGATATATCTTCAACAATATATTGTTGTTGTTGATCATTATATGAACGAGTTGAATATTTTTTTATGATTGCATCATTTCCATTAACTAATGGTGCAAGTTTTTTCTTATAGAGATGTGTTTTATTTGATGATAATTGTTTAACATTATTAGTAACATCTTCTAATGTTTTGTTTGACATAGAAGAAAACTCATCTGTATAAGATGATGTTGATTTTGCACTATTAATTGGTTTTAAACGACCACTTGGTGGTCGCATAACATTTGATGAAGGTAAACAATTAGGAAAATATGTTTCAATTTGTTGTTTAGTTCGAAATACTTTTTGACCAGCAACTGTTAAATCAAGTGTTGGAATTGATTCAGTTGAACTTGATTTTGAACCTGATTTAAGTCGATTTGATGCTGATTGATTTCCATTATTAGAATTAATACGATTTGATGATGATGAATGAGGAAAATCTTTTGTAATTATTGTACGAATTTGTTGTTTTGATTTATTTCTAGATGTTAATTGTTGTTGTTCATCAAGAAAATGATAATCATCATATGTTGAATGTGTATTTGATTGTTTTGTTTGTTTATAATTATTTCTATGATGTTTTAAATTCGTTTGTTGTTGAGATCGTTCATTATTATAACGTAATAAAATATGAGAATTAGGTCTTTCATATTCTAATAATTGATCATCATTATCAAAATCTCCATCACTAACATGACCTGCAAGACTATTTGCTTCACTTTGATCATTATCATCGTCAGAATGAATTGAATTAATAATATTATGATTAGGATTTTGTTGAACTTTTGATAAATTATTATGTGTAATATTTGATGTTGTTGAACTTTTTCGAGGTTTAACAGGTGGAGCATTTATTGACATATTTGTTGCTGATGATGATAATAATCGATTGGATTCTTTTTCATTATTATTATTATTATTATTATTATTATTATTTTTATTATTATTGTTATTATTATCATTATTATCTTGTTGATTTGATAGAATTGATGAAGATTTTGGATAATTTTTTGTACGAGAATATTGTTCCATTGATAGAGTAGGTGATGAATGATTTCCTATTGTTAATGATTCATTTAAAGGACGACGATCATTACGACGAATATATGTTGCATGACCATTAACGGGGGGTGTAGGTGTTACATCATACCCATTCATTTTTATTATGCTATTATTATTGCAACTAAGAGTTGTTGATGGTCGACTATTTATATTATTATTATTTGATTTTTCACGCAAATAAACTTCAAAAACACTTCGACAAAAATAAAGACCACGATTTTGAGCATAATCTAAGGCTGATATACCATGAATATCTTAACAAAATATAAATAATAAATTTTATTAAATGAGGTAAAAATTTATTTTTAATACCTTTTAGATGTGGATCAGCACCATGATCTAATAATTCTTTTAATACACGAGCATGACCATGTTTTGTTGCTAAATGAAGTGGAGTTTGACGACATTTATCCCCATCATGTACATAGGAATGATTATTTGCTTGTTCACTCATTTGAAATATAAGACGACAAGCATGAACAGAACCTTGTTCAGCAGCAACATGTAAACAAGTTCGTCCATCGTTATCACGTAATAAAATAGATTCAGATGATAATAAATATTTTAAACATTCTAATGGTTCTGTTTTTCTTGCACTATGATGAATCCATGTTCGACCATCATTATCTTTTTCTATTACATCATTCATATAACGAGATAATTCCTTTTTTTGATTTTATTATAATATTATAAAGAAAACAAAAGAAAAAGAATTATTCTTCAGAAAAAGAAAAGAAAAGAAAAATTCTTACTTTAAAATGTTCATAACGGTCAAGATGACACGCCCACATAGCTGGTGTCATACCATCAATATCTTTAATATGTATGTCGGCATTATATTCAATTAATAATTTTAAACAATCAATATTTTCTGTTAAAACAGCCCAATGTAATGGTGAACGTAAATGCACATCTTGTTTTGTAAGATCAGCATTATTTTCTAATAAAATTTTTACTATTTCAATATTTGTATGTTGTCCATCATCTGTATAACAAGCACGATGTAAACATGTTGAACCATCATTAGCTTGAATATTTATATTAATTGATGATTTATATTCATCTAATAAATAATTTAAAATATTTATTTGTTGATATTGTACAGCATAAGTTAATAAATCTCTTCCAAATGAATCAACACAATCAATTAAATCTGGTTCAGAATTTAATAATTCTTTAACATATCTTAAATCACCTTCACGTACAGCAACAATTATTGGTGATAAATTAACAAAATTATTAAATGAATGTTTTGGTATTATTTGTTTAACTTTATTTGATTCAACATCAATCCATGGCCATTGAAATTTATCAGGTGCTTCACGAAATGGTGTTAATGGACTTAAACCACGTTCAATTGTCCATTGTAATGGTTTTTGTTCTTTATCACGTTTTTGTAATATTAAATAATATTGTTGTAAAAAATGAAGAGCATGTAAAAGTGTATCTCGTAAACGTGAACTTGTTTCTTCATCAGGTAATTTAAGTAAAAATTCAAGTATAGTTGATGATGTCTTTTGAAAATCTTTACGTTTAATAGCCATTATATAAATACATATAACTATATACAGATTTTTTTTACTATAACACCTGCATCTGTAACATAAATATAAAAGCTTATCGACCAAAACGACAAATAGCAACCTGAATAAACAATGACATTGATGATTACTCACCAAAAAAAGTGTCATAGAGAAAAAAGAGCAATGTAAAAAAAAGACGAAGAAAAAGAAAAATGCATGAACTATAAAATTTTATTATCATAATTTTCATTTCTCGTTCTCTTACGAATTGCTCAACATAGAGATGTACAATAATACATAAATTTCTTTCATGTTTTTTTATTAAGAATGTCGAGTAACATTGTACTTACTCTAATCAAGTGTGTCTAGAAGAGTTTAAGTATTTTAAGATACATTAGAAATATGCAATAAGAGAAAAAAGTGGAGACATATATACGAACGATCGATGAACTTTCAAAGTTAATCGACGAACCGGTGATATGATGTAGAGCGTATATATATGCAATCGTTGTTGGCATGCGAGCAGAACGAGAGAAAACAACGAAGTTGAAATACGAAACTTTTCTTTTTCTTCTTTCTTTTACTCTTTTTTCACACACATCTATACACACAATCACTTGAGTGTCGTTATGATGCAGGAGGCTACCTCTTCGTCAATTACTACTTCACAATGTTAAATGAAAATGTAGAGAAACAAAAAAGAAGAAGAGAGAACAATATTAACGACAACAAAAAAGAAAAAAAATTACCAACCCAAATTTCTTGTTCAATAAAGAAAAAGAAATTTTAAAAAAGAAAAAAGAAAAGCAAGGTGATTTTATTTAATCGAATTATACATAACATAAAAGCTAACAACTAATAGATTATATTATAAACAAATAAATAAAAATATAATGTTTATAAATATGTTTCTTTTGCACATGTAATCATTGTTGAAAATAATTTCATAAATGCTGTATCTTTTGGTCGTTGAAGTCCACGTTCTAAACGATTTTTCATTAATTGTATAAATTCAACATAAGATAATAATTGATCTTCATTTTCATCAAATATTGTAAATACAACATCAATTAAATGTGAATCAAGTTCAATATGATTAACTGTTTTAGCAACATGACGAAATATTTGTTTATCAATTGCACCACCAGCTATATGATAAAATGTTAATGCTATATCAATATCATGAATATTACGAAGAAAATTATAAAAAGTTTCATATTCTTTAAATGATATTCCAATTGATATTGTTTCATCATCAATTGGATAACATTTTTTAACACGTTTTAACATTTTCTTAACATGCTTATCCGATAAACCTGAATATGCAAGTAATGACGTTGCAAAATCTAATTCTGTCATACGTGTTTTATCATTAGGACATTTAGTTGCACGATGAAATTCTAATTGCAAAATTTCATATTGTAATTGATCATAAAATTGTAAGAATTTATCAATAGTTAATAATTGATCAAGATTTTCTCCAAAAAAATATTGATTAAGAATTGATGTTTCTCGTAAAATATTTCCTGTTGTCGAATGATCTCGGTGTCTTTGTCCAATAGTTGTTTGTTCACGTATTAAACCTTTTAATTTAGTAAATTCATCAAAATCAAAATTTCCATTTCCATCTAAATCAAACATTTGAAATGCTATTTGAAAATAACGTTTTGGTGTTGATAATAATGTAACAAGAAATATATAGTCACTAAATGTAAGCAAACATTGTTTACCACCAATACGTTCAAATATTGATATTTGATCAGAATTTAAATCTGAATAATATATATATGCATTTAAATGTTCCAGTTTTTCCTCAGAATTAACACGTAAATTATAACGATGAAATTTATCTAGTTCTAAACCATCGGGTTGTTTCAAACCTATAGAAAACGTTATTTTTTTTTTTTTTTATAAATTATTTTTTAGATATATACCAGGTGTAATCGATCGAAGAAAATCATCTGGTGTCATATAAATAATACCTTTAAATAGAATATTTTATATTTATTTTAATATTAATTTATAAATTTTACCATCAGGATTCTCATCACTATGGATTTTTGCTGTAGCAAAATATCGAAATATTTTATCTGGTGTTGAATAAGCTCGTATACGATTTTCATAAGCAATTTTTTTCTTATCACGAAATGATATTTTTGTTTTTGCTTCTTTTTTTTCTTTTTTTGTAGTTTTAGAAGTTTCCTAAATAAATATAAAAATAAATTGAATCTTTTTTTCTTTTTTCATCATATCGTGAAGAAAATTAAATATTTTAATTATTCTCTTTAAAGAAAGAAACAAAAATGTATTGCACATATTTATCAAAAGTAAATTATTCATGTAAACGGAATAGAAAATCATTTCATTTCTTTTAATTGAAGTATTACTACGGAAATTATGTACGAAACGTAATTGTCTAGTTGGACTAATCAATTGCAAGCATTCTTTTTAAAATTATGTAATAATAAATGCGTGTTTCCTGTGAAATGAATTAAAAGAATGTGATGAACGGAAGTTTATTTATTACATAATGATTCTTTTTTTTTCTATTGTATTTAGAACAGGAAATCAGAATAATCTTTCATATGGAAATTTATTATGGATCGATCAAGTGAAGATAATCATATGAGGAAAAGGAAATAAGCAATAAGATCATTGTAGAAAATGAGTAAATCATCATTTTCAAGTCTAAGAATATGAAAATTAATGAAGCTTGCTTAGAATTTAACGAGCTACTTTAGCCTTGACACGTTACTTTGTTATGTCAATGAAAATTGTTAATTCAAATGTGTCATAGTAGGTGGCAAATAGTAGACAATTTACGAACGAAATACTTAAGATGCCTACTTCCCTTTTCATACATTCGATAGAGTATATTCAAAAAAGAAAGAGGCTTCGAACTGATGAGATGATGGAAAGGAGCTATAGCTGATTTACTAGAAGTTAGCCATTCTGAAAAAAAGATAGCCGTTTACCGTAACAAAACACACTTATACACTCTATTTGGAAATGAATTATCTCGAGAAAGACATGTTTATTTTCATTGAAAATTTTTAGAGCTATCGAATTAATATTAAATATATCTATAGGCAAAATTCCACATCAAAATTCTTCATTTCGGTTTTTTCAAAATAGCTGGCCCTTCAATAAAACTGTCATAATTTCTCGCCAATATGTCATAGGCTTGAACTGTTTTTCTTCTGTCAATTATACTCTATCTGATGATTTGAAATGGCAATGAATACTTCGTGTGCTTTCCTCATCATTTTATCATTGTAGGTTTGTGATAGACAGAAATGTTTATCATATTAAGTTATAAAAAAAAAGCATAATAAAAGAAACAAAAAAAAGAATACTATTAAATAGTTTTATTATAGAATTGAAAGTTCTACTTATGAATTTCAAGTACTTAATAAACTATTTCCTACAACAAAATGTCAAAATAGAAACCTCAGATAAATCTCTTTTGCTTTTTTCATCATTCGAACCGATATGATTTGTTTCAACTACTGGTAAAACAGTTGCTGCTTTGACATTTGAAAATATATCCAAACGTCGTTGAGTTTCTGTTGGATTAATATAAGTGTTCATTTCAGCCACTTGATTTGTATTAACCGGTTGTGTCCAACGATCTTCAAATTCTGTAACATTTCTGCAAAATAAGAAAAACAATATTTCTACATACATACACTCATCGAAAAATATAACTGGATAAATGGTTACTATCATTCAAGTCAATAGATAATCAGAACATTTTTCTATGATAATTACTAATAGGAGTTAGAAAATCGACAAAGATTTATTTTTAGGAAAAGATTTTTATATATCTGCGGGTCGAACAGTACCTATTTGTTTAGTTTTCGCTTCTCAGTACATAATACACTCTTAGAATAATTTCATGGAAAAATAAAGCAGACGAATAGAACCTCTTATTGGCTTCCGGAGAGTTCGATTCATTGTGTTAGAACTAAATCAGAAATAAGCCTTATATCATATATACTATGGGTTAGTCTTGTAATGGCTTTCTATCGGTATTTTTTTTTTAATTGAGATGGGTGGTAAAATTGGTTTTCTGTTACGTCTGTAGAAATGTATAGATTTAGATCAAATATCTATAAACGACTGTTGCTGAAATATGATTCAATCTCGTTCCAAATTTAATGTCAATAGAAACAACTGAAGTATTCAGTAACAACAAAAGAATATGACTCGTTCACTTTTATTAATTCTTTACTTTCTACTGGATCATTTTTGACTTATTCATAGAAACTACATGTTTGCAGTTACAAATTCATAAAACATTAAACTTCTTTTCATTATTCCTTTGCTAAAGTAATGCTTTTTCAATCAAGTAAAAAAAAACTGCTTTCCTTTTTATATTTAGTTACACAGAGTAATTATTCTAATGCTTCTTGGTTCCAGCTTTGTACATTCAGATTTGGATCATTTTTAATTACTTGTAGTGAGTGAAATGAAAAATAGTTTTTCAAAATTTACTTTATTTTCTATATAAACTCATAAATAACACAATTTTCATGCCAAAAAACTTTATTAAAACAAATATTCAATCAAAACGGTCGTTTTTTTAAAAATATATTCCTATTGATAAAAGATATAGAACTTGCAGCAGCTTGCTTTATGACCTTCTATCTGTATGTGAAGGTCTTAACAATAGGAATGGCTAATAACGATACCGACACGATTCTGGAAATCAATGAATTGATTTCAGTCGAAAATTGTTCGCTGTTAGAAACATCTAACCATATGTAATATTCCGAAATAACAAACATTCCTGATAAGTAGGTGTTTAACTTTATACAAATAAAATAACAACGTCACTGCGAAAAAATCAAATTAACAATAAATTTAATTTAGATGAATGAGTCATTTTATAGCTCATTCTATATATCTACAGTAAAATGAGTTCTCCCCTTATTTAACCATATCACTTTCATAATCAGCATCTCCATAAACTATTCCCAAAGTTAACTCAACAGTAACTTCTTAAGATTAGTCAATGAGGTAAGGGATTCCGAAATTTCACCATTGGTCAAATTTTCAATTGGTATAATATTACTTCCCCGGAAGGAAAGGATGATGAGCAAAACTTTGGTGGTTTTTGTTATCTATATAGATTTTGAAATGAATATAATGAAAAACTAACGTTAAATAGAAAACCGCATATGCTCCAATAATAAATAAAAAGAATTGCATATAATGTACAACATGATGTCCTGGTGGTCTAATATGTCTTCGATGTCCATAATTTGTATAACCAAAGCTAAATTTTAATTTTCTTGTACGATATGATTGATTAATAATAACAGGTAAACGAACTGAAAGTAATGATTTTTCATTTTGATTACGTTGATGATTAGAATTTAAAAATCGATTTAAATTTGACGATGATAAAACATTTGTTGATCTTAATAATGATGACGAACATAAACGCCAAATATTATTTTGTTGTTGCTTTAAAATTCCAATTAAAATCATCTAAAAAGAATATTCTACAAAGAACTTTCTGTTTTACTTCCCAAATAATCGATACACACAGTGTAAAAAAAAAACGAAAAAAAAAAAAAAAGAAGAGAACGGACGGAGAGAAAAGACGAATTGAATATCAGACATAAATTAAATCGGATCTTGTAAATCAGTCATAAAACTACTTAAATGTTTAATACGTTCTTCCCATTTTTTTTTACGTTGATTTGTATCATGCAATAAAATTCTCATTTCATCTTCAACTTCATTTATACGTATTTGAGCTTGTTGAAGTTTTTCTTCATAATTTTTTTGCATTTGATTTAATGATTGTCGATGACCATGTTCAATTGTTTCAAATTGTCGACGAAAATCATCATCACGTTGACGAAGTTTTTCTTCTAATTGTCTTTTTTGAAAAGCAAAAACAAAGATTTGAATAAGATTAAAAACAAAAAATCTTTTTTTTTTCTTTTTTACTTTTGAATTTCAATTAAACGATTATTTTCATCAGAAATTTTCTTTTCATTGGTTTGATATGTTTCTGATGCACGACGAATTTTACTATCAAGTTCACTTATTAAATCAGATTTTTCTTTCCATTTACGACTTAAAGCACTAGAAAAGAATAATATTTTGTTGCAAATTGTTTTAGATAAAACAAAAATAGAAAAACAAAATAATCAATACTTGTAATCAGCTTTGGTTTTTTCAAGTTGTTGTTGTATTTGATGCATTTCATTTTTCATTGAATCTCGTTTTTCACAAACTTTTTCATATTTTTCTTGTAATTCTTGATAAAGTAATTGTTCATCTTGTAATTGTTGTTCCAATTCTTTTTGACGATTAATTAAATCTTCACGAGCTTTTTTTATTGTATCATCACGTTCAACAACACCCTAAACATCAACAATATATATTTATTTATTTTAAATTTTAAAACTATTTATCTTATCAACTGAAAATTGTCGAATTAGATTTCGACTTAAAAATAAGAGTAAAATTTATTTGAAGGGTACAACTGCAGAAGAACGACACTCTCTACACTAAATGATCTAATTGATAGGGCACATCAAAGAGTGTAAATGCCACGGTGTTGTTCTTGTGCAGTTGTACTTCTATCAAAACTTATGTAAAAACAGTACAGTACATCATGTTTTGCACTGGACACGCATACATCGAGTGTGTGTAAGAATATTTATCTTATTATATCAGCACAATAATATAAAGAAAAGAATAGTTTTATGTTTTGAAAAAAAATACAAAAAAATTGTTGAACGTATAGTTTTGGAATACCATGAAAATTTTCCGTGTCATGAAATGTAGTTATTAATTGTTCCTGTCAGTATTCCATTGAACTTTAGTCTCACTATTGTTAGTAATCAGTAAACTGATTCTCTCACATCGGATATTAAAAAATCTTTTTCTGATTTATATTTTCCTGCATAGAATATATATTATTCGAGTTCTATTAAATGACATTTTTCCTTTGTATGATGAGTCCAAACGGATTAAAATACTGATCTATTATAGTAGTTTCAATTAGAGATATAAAGTCATATTTTTATCAATCTTATTCAAACAATCGGAATTCAAGACAAATGAATTTCCAAAAAGGATTATTCTCAATATACTATTGAACGTTTCATAAGACTTTATACAGAAAGATTATGACATAGCTGAAAACTGAAAACTAGCCAAAATAAATATTGAGTTCAAAATAAAATTATGCAAAATCATGTTATGAAGATCATTGACAAAATAAAATAAGCAAATATAAAAAATGCCTTACGAATTGATCTCACCCAGTTGTTTAATACGAACTGTACCTTTAACAATGCCTACAAAAATTATATTCGAAAATTTTTTCTCACGCGCAAACATTATCTATACAAAATAATATGGATGAAATGTGTTCTTATTGTCTGAACAATATGTCTACAGAAGCGAATCATTTGCTATTCTATTCTCTTTCGTTTCATGGTCGTTTTCAAAGAGCAATGACTTTTATTGTTTTTCGAATTATTTTGATAGAAAAAATAAAGAGACTTGCGGTTTTCACCATTAAAGAGAAAATATTCTTGATCGTCTATGTATGCGGAAATCCGATTGATTAATAAGTAATCAGTCATGTGAGTTCTCGGCGGATATTTTGCAAAAGATATAGCGAAGGCATTCCACATTGTATTTTGATTTAGAATAGAATCAATCAATAGAGAAAAATTCTTCTCTTTTGATCTACACAAGCCTCATGTTTCTAGTATAATCCCTTAAAGAGCTATAAGGGTTTTCCAGAAACTCCTGGTTTCAGAAAATCGGCTTTGGAAGACTTTAAAAGAACTCAGAAGAAGAGTAATTCATTATTTTGAGCCAAATGATAATGCTTGCTTTTAGTTTCAATGATGAATTACTCCTGTCTTTAGTTCTTTCGGAGCAGTGGCGGATCCACTAGTTCGGCTAACCGGCGACTGCTACCCCCCTCCTTTAAGAAATTTTTTTCGATTTTTCCTAGCAGAAATAAAACAGAAAAGAGTCATACTGCTTCAAATAGGCTTCCAAAACCGTTTTTTGACCAGGAGTGCCACCCCCTTACTGATTTTCTGGATCCGCCACTGTTTCGGAGTCTTCCAAGGTCAATTTGCTAAAATGTGGAAATCTCGTGAAAACTTGTGTATCTCTCAAATATAACATGCTAGAGAGTTGAAGCTTAAGTAGAGTGAAAGAGACAACTTTTTTTCTATCGATTTGTGCTATTCCGAGTCAAAGCCCAATAGAAAATAATCTCAGAATATGTTTTTTAAAGTCTCCTCAGAGAGCGCACATGATTGGTCGGTTGTTAACCAATCAGATTTCACCATATATGAAAGACCTACAGGCCTTCTCTATTGAATGGTGTAAATCTAGTTACTCAACAAACAGTCAGAGCTATTGCTTTCTGAAAATAATAATAGTTGTATACTAATTACAAAAATATAAAATATGAGATCGTAGTCATTATCTACTTGCCAATACAAATATGAAAAGAGTCACTTTTTTTTTTACTCTGATCGAATCTACTAGATTTTCTATGAACATAGAATAATATAATTACATCTTTGAGTTTTTGAATTGTGTCTAATTGACTTTCAATAATTGTTTGTTTGATACGACATGTATCAACTTCTTTATCTAATTGTTTTTTTAATGTATTCACTTCACTAGTTAAAGTTTGTATTGTTGATTCTAAACGTCCACGATCTTGAGCTAATGAAGCACCTAATAATAAAAACAAAATATGAAACAAAACAATACAAAACAAAAAATCGAATAAAATAAACCTTGATGTGCTAATTCATGACTCCATAATTTTTTTTCTTCTCTTAAACCTGATAAAACTGATTCTTGAGCAACAAGACGTGCATCTAATTCACGACGTTCTTTTTGTAATACTAAAATTTGTTCACGAATTTTTTTTAATTCATCTATCGTACGTTCTAATTTTGTTGTTAAATGTTTATTTTGATGAGTTAAATTTTCATTTGTTTTTGTTCGTTCTTGTAAACGTTGTTTTTGTTCACGAACTAACTATAAAAACACAAAACAAAAAAAATACCAAAACGTTAATATTTCATCTTAAATTGAATGGATTTCTTTTTCCTAGTGAAAATTTTTGAATCGAGATCTGCGCTTCAGGAAGGATCTGCTAAATTTGCTTTTTCGATTTTTTAAAACTCAAATGAGAAATTATGAAATGAAACTTATAAATACAAAGTATGAGCTTTTCTGACGAACTTGGATAATATGCTGAAGATCATCATCCTTCCAAGTTTTTGTGGTTAGACTATCCTATTGAGTTAGAAAAGATGCAGAAAAGAATCCTCTACAAAATGGCCTATACCAAAGAGATTAGAATAAGTTGTAGCAATTGATTGTATCTCCACGGCGAAATATAGAGTCTCTGTTGGATGATCGTCGTTTTGCTAGTAATTTGTCTCTAATCTCATCGAGTCATGAGATGATTATCCTTCGGATCGGTTTTTCATAAAAAATTCCTTTTTCTAAAACCTATCTTATTTGATACAGTTATCTGCACTGATTTTGAATATGGTAACCATGCTGTGAAAAACTGCTAAATACAAACACCATTTCAACAGCACTATATGGTTTTTCTACTTAGCACAGCAATCATGGCCCCTACTAAAATCTCTTGCACATCTTTTTGTACTTCGAATGAGATATACCTAGGATCCAAAAATTCGCAATTCAAAGAAATTCAAGGAAATCAAGCAATTCAAGAAAGATACATAACATAGTCAGTTACAAGTCTAAACCATGACAGAATTCACGGAATTCAAGTAATTGAAGAAATCAAAGGAAATTCTAGAAATTCAAGAAACGTGCATACCATAGCGAGTTATAAGTCTACCCTAGGATGGAATTCAAGGAAATTATGAAATTATATGATATGCTGAATTTAGACTTCTGCAAAGTGGTCACGGTCACGAGAGATCGTGACCGTGACCAAATATCGCGTGATTGTGACTTAACGGTGAAAATTTTCATTTTTAAAATCTAATTTTTGTGAAAAAAAATCAAGATTTTGATTGATTTACAGTTTTTCTTTGTTTTATTATCCAAGANTTTTATTTTACGTATGACTTCTCGTTCCCGTTGCAGACCGGGATCTAATTATAACTGTCTTCTGGCCTAAACCATAGAGTGGGGCAAGAGTCTAAGACATACCATAACGAGAAGCTTACAAATACAAATTCCATCATAACCTTGAGCTTCAGTAACAGTTTCATCATTTAATTTACTTTGCAGAAATGTAAAATGTAATTTATCTTGACCATTCAATGTTCTTAACGCTTCTTTAAATGTTTTTTCATCATATAATTTTGAATCAAAAAATAAAATCTTTTTTTGTGTCATTGTACTCGCTATTTTGTTTTCTGAAAATTAACAATGATAAAACTAAAGAGAAAAAGAACTACTAGGTGAAAAACTCCTATAACTCAACTCAGCAGAATTATAATAATCTACAGATTTAATATTGTTCGCTACATTAACGCCAGATAGACAAGCATTCAATTCTCTTTTTCTTTCCTCAGTAGGCTGAATTTCATTGATGTATAATCACGTAGAATATGTGAACAATGACGAGAACGATGTCACACCGAGAGCAGCAGAAGAAACGAGAAAATAGTGGAAGAGAAAAAATGATGCAGAAAAAAAAAACAGAAAAGAAGAGACATGCATGAGAGTAACCAAAACAGCTCAAAGCGATGTTTTCCAATAATAATTATCTTAGATTCTACCAGAAAAAAATGTCCTTAAAAATGTTTTGATCATGTCTACGTTTTCATGATTAGATGAAATTAAAAGTATTTTTTTTTAAATATACCTAGTTGATTACTTTTCAAAATACATGCATTTGTTTAATCAATCGAATCTTTTTCAACAAGGAAAAATAATAAGTCAAATAAATCTCGCGTAATTGACTGTGAATAAGGTTTTTTTTCTATAATAGCATATTGAAATATCAAGTATAATATTTTCTTCCATTACAGATTAAAAATATACTGAGTGACCTGATGCACGACATAGAAAACTCATTGATCAATTTACCATGTAATCATTTGAATAAACATCAAATTAGATTATCACAATAGTATATAAACGAGTATTTTTATATTGTTTGCTGCTTATTTATTGTTTCGTTTTTTTTTCACTTCGATTTCATTGACTTAATCTGTGAAAATGATTGTTGATTAATTAGTAGGAATCCGAGAGAAGTGGCATTATTTCATCATAAAGATTTTTTGTTTGGAAGATGATGCTTTTGATAGATAGATGGTGTATTTATGGTAAACGGATTGTAGAAATTGAATCAAAGTCTTTAATTGTTGACGTTTTTGTTCTACAAGAAGACGCTAAAATGAGATAACCAGTCATCCTAAATTATATCACATGAGTTAATCACCAGCTGTGCTTCTCATTAATAAAAGCTGATTAATCATCTCATCGAAAAGTTTTCCAAGTATACACGCTATTATTTGACATTTTATGTTTACATGGACGTCAGTTAATCTAAGGAAAATTCGCTCGAACTACAATGCATCGATTATCCATGTGAATAAAAAGGAAGAATCATGAATATTTATTGAATAGCTTTTGATTGGAACAATAGAGAGTTACGCTTTTTATCATTACAAAGAAAAGATCCACATGCATAAATACGTGTTGAAACTTGATTGACGAGTACTTCATCAATCAGATGAATTAATTTTTGATAGACCTTTGAAAAACGATATTCTGAACACATTTTTCTGTTGGTCTCGATGTTAATATGATCGGTATATAAGAAAAATTCTTCTCTTCCGATCTACATTCCAAACTTGTTCTGTTCGAGAGTTATAAGACTTTTCCTAAGACCCTCAATTTCAGTCAATGGATCTGATATCACCCCGAAATGCGTTTAGAATTCATCCTGTTGAGTCGAATGACAATGTTTGTTTTTAGATTCAAAATGATCTGACACTGTTATTTTAGCATTGCAAAATTTTCATAATCTGTCGCTAGGTAACAAAATAAGTCTACATACTCCATATATTGAAATACCAGAGTTAGATCATTTCAAATCCAAAAACAAATATCACTATTCGACTCAGCATGATGAATTACCATCTGTCTAGCTGCTTTTTCGGATAATGACAGGTCAATTGACTGAAATCTATGTTCTCACAAAATGTCTTATAACTCTCGAATGAAAGAAACCAGGAATGTCAGCTTTATATAGATCGAAAGGGAAATAACTTCAGAATATCGTTTTCGAAAATCAACACTAAGAACTAATCTAATTGATCAACTGCTGAAAAATTGAATTGTGATATAGTTCAATGGCATCGGATATCCTCTTTTGAATGGTGAATACTGCAAGTGTGTATCATATTCCTATCAGAAGTTATTCAATAAAAAAATAGTGAAGTTCATTATATATTGAAATCGATTATAATAATAGAACTATTGTTCATTTTACATTCTATTCTAATCAAATTTACTTTATACTTGCAGTAAATGCTTTTTTTTTCATTGATCAATAAATCCTACTTAAATAGTTTTATATGAGAATCAAACTCGCAAAATTTCACATATATTGTTTATGTTCTTTTCTTTCTCGTTAATATAAAATAAAGACAAAGAAAAGACTATAATCATGTACCGATAATAACAAAGAGATAAAGAAAATAAGTATATGTATTTTCTAGATTATAATACTAGAAAAAAAAAATAATGAAATTCTAATAAAGTTTTATGATATAAATAAACTCATGAATATTGAATATGTCGCAATGTAGGTGACATTGTCATAGTTCCTGTTGAACGAAACCTTTTAAAGAAAACAAAAAAAAAAAAAAGTCTAATAAGAAAATATAAATTTTTTTTGAAAATTACCGTTTTCGTTTTTTCATAAAACATTTAGCTGAATCAAATAATTGACGATTTCGAAATCGACCAGATCCAATTGTAATTGGTCGAGCACGAACACAATAATGTTCACTTTGAATCTCAAGCCAAAGATGATATTTTCCATTAATTAAATCATAAATTGTTGCTTGATGTATATCAGCATTATATTCACCATGTAAACGTACAACATGTGTTGTCACATTTTCTGAAAGAATCTATTATAAAAGAAAAACATAATTTTTATTACTTTTTCTTTTTTTTTGTCAAAAAAAAAAAAGTCATGTTATTATTCATACTTTAAATCCGATTAATTTTTCTGTTTCATCTTCTAATTGAGGATGCTCCCAAGCAACAACAACTGTTCCTGTTAATCCATCATCTAAACGTTGAAATACACCTGGTTTAATACCAGGCCAAGTAAATTTAACACCACGGGACATTGGACTCGAAATATTTTTATCATTACTTAATGCTTGAACATGAACTATATATTCTTCACATGCTGAACCATTGGTTAATGTATATGTTAATTGATCATGTGAAAGAATAGCTACTAAACGATTATTTATATAGATTTTATAGCCAACGACAGCAAGTTCACCATAGCTTGGTGCTGGACGCCATTCAAGTGTTACATGATCATTTGTACGTTCACTAAATAATATGTTTTTCAAAATTTTCAGTGAAACAAAATGAAAAACAGAGAAGATTCACCGATTTGACTGTTTCTTACTACAGGAGAATGTTACAAAAACCGTTTCGATACGTATTCATTTGTTTGTGAACTGCTTAAATATAGATTCAAGGCGATATTGCTCATTTGATGCAATATTCTTTCTTAATTACTAGACCTTTCTCTACACATTACTAATTGCAGTTGTGAGCTGGTTCAGGGAGATATTATACGATAAAACATAAGCCAGGAAATATATATTCTATTGTAGAAAGAATTCTATGAAGCACACTACTCACGATTCTAGCTATATATCATGTGCTCAAGATTAGGCCATAATCTGATGATGTTAACATTCAAACACACTACTTTCGAACTACAAAATAATTATCATAATCACATAGTTATAGTTACTGAATCACAATGAATTTACTTTTATTGGCAAGAAAATAGTACTATCATATATTTGACATATCGAAGATGTATAAGATGATCCTATGTTCTCTAGAGATCAGGTTAGAGCTGTTTCAACTCTTTAGAGAGAATGTTCAGCATCCTGTTCCTTGATGAATCATAAGCTAGAAATTCTAAGATTAGAGATTATTTGCTATTTCGACTTACTAGACATCTGATACAACTTATCAGTGTTTTCTTATAAGTTTCATTACACTTGAATAACTATGATTTAAAAATAAAAATATCTTACCGAATTGCAACAATCGGAGCATTAGGTGGAGCACTCATTTGAATAATATTTTTATCTGATGAATATACTATTTCACCATCTCTATCAACAGCCACAACTGTTATTTCATAGGTAAAACCTGGTCTTAAATCGCGTAAAATCTTTGAAAACAAAATCAAAAACAAATATTTTATTGTCTTTCTTTTTCATTTTCTTACTGCATTTTGATGTCGTTTTGATACTTGCATATTTTGTACATCACCATTATTCAAACAATTATAATGAATATAATAAGCACGTATTTCTGTTATAGGTAAAAATGATGTCCAATCAATATGAAGTTTTTCTTCATTAATTGATTCAATTTGAATAGGTATAGTACGTACTATATTACGATCAAATGATCTTAGACTACTGTCATTATTATTATTATTATTATTATAGTACATTGTTGGAATAGGATTTGTTGTTGATGTTGTTAGAACTGATAATGTTTGTGACATAACTGAACGTGAACGTTGAGGATTATTTGTAATAGCACATACACTAACTTGATATGTTCGATTAATATTTGAAGGAATTTCAGCTCGATGTAAATTAACTGAAATCATATCACCTGCTTGTTTTCCTTCGATATATAATTGAAAACCAATAACAGGTATTCCATATGATTTTGGTTCTGACCATTCAACAACAAAACTTGAATCAGATGTTTTAACAAGCCATAATTTTGGTGCATCTGGTTCACCTGGTATTGGCATTTTTAATGGTTCATGTTCATGTTTTACACCATCATGTGTAACAATAATTATTTCAATTATATAAAAATGTTTTTCATCACGTGCATCTATATTAATAAATTTCTCTCTTTTTTTTTGTAAAGAATATGAATTATGAAAATACTAACCTATTGTAAATGTTGTTTCATTATTGTTAAGAATTTTTTGTTGTAGACGTAAATCTTTTGATGAATGCCATTGTAAAATAAAATGTGAAATATCTTCTATATCATTGGATACTGTCCAATGAACATTTATTTTTCCTAATGGTTTAACTTCATTTCTTAATTGAATTATATTTTCTTTTGTTATATTATGATGAAATTCAAAATTAGCTTGAAATGATTGAAGAAAATCTTAAATACAAAATAGATAATTATCAAAAAAAAAAATTTGTTTTGTCAATTTTACCATGATTGGTTAACATTTGAACATATAATTTTTTTGATGGTGTTTCATCTGGTTCTTCATCATTTTCATTATCATTAAAAAACTATACAGAAAAATTAAAAAACAAAGAAAAAACTTAATTAATCTATTTATTTTCTTTACTATATCATCGATATATTCATTGTGAACAATAGTTTGTACAATTAATTGTACTTTATAATCTTGACCTGGTTGACATTCAGTTAATGTACATTGATATTGATCTTTATCTAAATTATTATATTTTTGTCCATTAATTTCAACTCTATATCCAATTAATTGTCGATGTATTTTAATTTGTTGATTTAATCTTTCTGGATGATCAATAATACTAAACATATTTGGTTTATTCCATGTTAAATCAATAGTTGTTGTTGTATAACCAGTTAAATAAATTTCTGGTTTTTCTGATAAACCAGGTAATCGAAAACGTACTGATGTTGTTTCAATTGTTGTTAAACGAATTTCTTTTCGACTTGTTTCATCATCTTCATCATCAAGAGTTAATTTCATACTAAACAATGAAACAATTGATATTTTATATAAACCTAATGGTAATATTCCAGGTATAATTGCATTTGTTATATTACAATTTAATTCCATACTATGTTCTATATCACCACGTTGTAATTTCCAATGAAGTATTTGACCAAGAAATTTTGTTGAACCATAAGCTTTTGGTAATATCCAATTAAGTTGTATTGATTCAATAGTTGCACTAGTTATATGTATTTGACTTGCTGGTTCACAACCACTTGTTGTAAATTGTAAACTTTTATTTGTTAACCAATAAGATGATTTTAATTTTTTTGGTAATTGTGATATATCTCGACAATGAATTTCATGTAAATATTCATCTGTTATAGCATAAATAGTTAAATTATAATCTGTACGTTCAATTAAATTTGATAAAATAAATTCAGTTGAATCAGGTGTTAAATCAAGAATAATTTCTTTTGTATGTATTTTTGATGATATTGATTCACAATGAACACGTAATGTTATTATTTCAGCACTATGTTCAATAAATGGATCAAAACCTATACGAACAGCTGTATTTGTACAAGCAATTATGTTTAAATTTGATGGAGCATCAGGTGGTGCACCTGTTTCAAATATTAAAATTTTCGATGTTGCTGAAACAATGTAGGCATCTAAAAAGAAGAGAATCTTTTTTTTGTTTTTTTTTTGTATAAGATAAATGATTTGAATAGAATACCATTTGTTTTTTGATGACGTCGTCTTTTATAGCTTTCTAATTGAATTTCATATGTTGTGGCTGATTGAAGATCATTTAATTGTTGACTGGTTTTATCTTCTAGAAAAAATAAATATCAAACAATTTAATTTCAGTTCTTTCCGTTTAGAATATCGTTGAGAATAAGTTAGAAATGATTACGAGAAAACAAATTCGAGTGAGTCAGATACTAACCCACATACATGTTAAGTCTAACAGGGACTGAATTCATAAGTTTTCGAAATAAACTTATGTTGATTTAATTAACTTCCGAGTCTTAAGAAAAAAATGTAGAGTTGTAGTGCTAATTTTTGCCTTCATTCTAATGTCAAATCCAACATTTTAGTACCTAAAATAGCGAAGATATCCGAAGCGCATGAAGCCGTCAAAATTAAAAAATTTTATTGTAAGAAAAATACAAAATTAGTTGCAACACTTTTATTCGAGACTTTTTTCTCTATAAACTAATAGAAAAAAAGTTCAAGTAACTTATCATAGATCGTCAACACGAACGAACCAAATGAATACATATAAGAGTATCTGTATAAGTCTTCAGTTTACGCATATGTTCATTCTATTGTGTGGCTTTTCATGTTCATGTCAGTATCTGACATGGATCAAATTTTTTTGATTCGATTTGAGTCGAACTCTATCTAATACCTGTATATCACCGTTCAATAAACAATGAATTCGCTATGCATAGTTGTCTGATGTCAATAAAGTAAAGTCAATGAAATAGAAAAAAAACAGCATGCGACATATAACTTCTTGTTCTAATAAGCTTTTCACGTCTTCTGATAGAACTTTTAAATGGAAATAATATGCAAAATGCTTTTTTTTATCCGTAAAATGTTCAGACTGAAGATTCCACTCGAGTCGAACTCTATAGTTAGTTTGAGTATTACTTAGCTATGCATTATAGTCATGGCCATCAGTGCCGAAATTCAAGAGAGAAGTTTGAAAAACTTTGAAAATCAAAGTTCTCAAAAAAAAAAAACATTACTCTCTTTAATATGAGAATTCAAAAAAGCCTATTTAATATCGTTCAATCTCATCGTAAAATCAACATTTTTTCTTTCGATTTTTCATACAGGCAAAATATAAGCGGTAATATAGAGAAGCAGTTTATATGTTATTCTCATTAGAAAGATGTCCTAATTAATTCCACAAATAATCTGGTTTTGATTGATTGAATGAAATTTGCATCGATATGTAAATATATCTCGACAAAAAAAAAAGATCTTACTTGATATTGGAATAACAGTAGCTTGATCACGCGTTTGTTCTTTACTATTCCAAAGAAATAATTTATAACTATCTGGTTGTATATTTGCATTTGATGAATCACCTATTTATAAAAACAAAATCATAAATTGATTACTTTGATTGAGTATATATTTTTCTTGTTTTATTGAAACTTACTTGCAGACCAACAAACAACTGCTGAATGTCCAGAAATATTTTCTATCCATAATTTAGATGGACTTTGTACTAAATCTATAAAATCAACATCAAGTTTTGGACCTGGTAAAAAATAGATATGTCGTTCAGGATCATATTCTAAAAAAAAAAATATTTTAATCCTTCTCAAAAAAGAACCATTAAACAAATTAATATATTAATCTAACCTTCTCCTGCTTGAAATAAAGTATCACCTGATTGATTAGTTATTGGTACAACTTGTAACGAATATCGATTACCAACTTCAAGATCATGAATTGAAGTTCGTCGTTTATCAACTGGTATTGATGAACCAATGGCTCGACCATTTTTTAATATTTGATATCCCTTAGAAATATTATATGTAGTCACAAACGAACCAATCTTTTTCGATCACAGTCTCGGTCAGAAAAAAAATTTTGCTTTGGCTTTGCGTTTAACAAAACATACGCGAGAGAAAAATACGATATGGTTTTCTAGCAGCAGAGTTAATGAGTTAGATATATCATGTGCACAACCTGCTTTAACTGAAATATCCTTCCTCTTGGAGGAGGTTCATTCCATTTTGTTTTTATTCATTTATACTTTATCTATTCTGCATGTTTATGTGTTCAACAACTCGGTGGTTTACAAGAAAGAGATTAATTTTACTATCAAAACTGTGACAGAAAATCTTGGAATAAAGGTTGCTCATTAAAACTTTTGCATAAACATTTAGAACTTATGAGTCGTGGCAAATATAATACTTGACGCGCATTCGGCACGATCATAAAAGATATCATTCCCAATGAGATAGTGTTGATTCTGGTTCTAGTCTCGGCAGCGGAATCATTTTGCTAATATCTCATCATACATCTTAGAAAATCTGCATAAAAAGAAACTAATTCAAATAACATACAGTCACTTTGACAGTTCCAAATTCAATAGGTGCATCCCAAACAATATCAATTCCATTTGGATACATTCGTTCTATTCGTGGTGGTGTACCCTTTGGTGGTGTGAAACATTTTAATAATAATTCATTTGATGTATTTGATTCAATCTCACATTGATAAACATAATCATCAAGTTTCTTTTGTCCAATACATGATTTAACATAAATTGAATATGTTTGATCAGCTTGTAATTTAGCAAATTCATATTTAAATGAATGACGTCTATTAGTATCAATTTCACAGTGTAGTTTTCCATCGAGAAAAATTTTAAAAGATGTTATTTCATCTTGAATATTATTATCAATTTTCCATTTGATTCCTATTGAAAATGGTTTTTCAGTTTGAATTGATTGAATTGTTAGTGGTTGTGGTCGTCGTGGACATATAATACGCACTGAATTAGACAGTTTTTCCTCAACAAAATCTGGACGACAAGTAATTGATATTTGTACATCATTTGTTGTACCTACATATTTATTGTTTTATATATATAAAATTTTGATTTAAAAAAAATTAAATACCTGATTTTATATTTCGTAATTCACATTCATATTGATTAGATGAAAGAACTTCAGTTGGTTTTTTATTTAAAATAATACGAAAACCTTTAATTAATGATTGATCAACAGGATTATCAAGTTTCCATGAAAAACTCGCCTTAAATTTATTTTAAAGATTATTTTTAATAAGTTTGTTTTTTATTATGAAAAAACAATTACCATTTGCAATCCAATACGTGTTACTTTAAGCACTGGTTTTGGCAATAAATCAATTAATGGAATGACTCGTTCTATTTTTATTTCATTTGACGTTGTTGTAAAATTTTTCGTATCACTTAGTTCTTGAATAGAAAATAATGCCTGAACAAAAACTCTACAAACAAAAAAATAATACAAAAGACAGTTAAATGACTATCGATTTCAAAAAGTACAAAGAACTCCATTGTTTTTTAAATAACTTTTCGTAGGAACATCATAGAAATCTACCATTTTCAATATTCAAGAGAAAAGGCCAGTGACCATCAAAATTTAATTAGTTAGCAATTGGCCAACTAGATCACTCCTTGGCAGAGATTTTTGGAATTGATATTCTTAAGCTATTTATCTTTCGATCTACGTAAGGTTGACATTTCTACTGAAATTCTCGATTTCAGTCAATTGACTTATGATCAAGCAAAAAAGCAGCTAGACAGGAGTAATTCATCATAATGAGTCCAATGGTGACATTTATTTTTAGGATCCCAATGATCTGACATTGTTATCTCAATATTTCTGAAATGTCAATTCTGTCATTAGATGTATGCTGATAGTGAAATTCCAGCAATATTGAGACAATAGAGTCAGATCATTGTGAACCTAAACACAAATATTATCATTCAATTCAACATGATGAATTATCTTTGTCTGATTGCTATTCAGGATGATTATAAGTTCATTGGTTGAAATCTGAGTTCTCTAGAAAATTTCTATAACTCTCGAAATAAACAAGCCAGGAAAGTCAGTTTTGTGTAGATCGAAAGGGAAATAACTTCAGAACATCTTTTTTGAAAATCTCTACCAAGAACTAACTTGACTATGAAAAGTTATTCAAAAAACGGTGAAGTACATTATATTGTGAAATGGATAGTAATTTCTTTTTTGAAATTATTACGTGTATTCGTGTCGATCAGGAATGCCTTTTATGTCCAATTCAGAATTAGATACATGCCAAACATGTTCTATGTAATCATCCTGTTGGAAACTATATTTAAAACAAAAATTAAAATAGAAAATTTCGACAAATAAGAAAAGTTAAACAATTACTTTTGATCACTTTTTATCTTATCGGAAAATTTTTGACCACGTACATGAACTTCATACATAGTTACACATGCTTCGGTTGGTATCGGTCGATCTAAAGACCAATTGACATGAATTGATGATTGATTTATTATTTTTATATTTAATTTTGGAATAGGAATATCTTCTTGTTCAAGAGTTTTCTAGAATAAGAAAATGATATTTTTCATTTCATAGGAAAAACATTGGTTACATACATGAGCAATACCATTCGATGAATCTTCCATCTCGTTTTCTTCTGATTTATTGTCAACAATAGATGGTATATCAAATTTCTATTTAGAAACAAATTTTAAATAAATAAATGGATAATGATTATTTTCGATTACATACAAGAATGTTCGATTGATAAACTTCTTGATCTTTATCTTTCGGTAAAACAAGTAAATAACATTCATGTTCACCTGCTGGAAGATTCAGTTGAATTTTTGATTCATCTTCCGGTGAAATTAATTCTCCATATTGTTCTCCATCGATCATAATCTAAATAAGAATATTATAAACTTAATTTTACCTTAAAAAAATATTTTCTTACTCGGTAACTTTCAACAAAATCTGAAATAGTTGGTGACTTTTTTGTCCAAGACAAAGTAATACCATCTGAATTTTGTTCATATGATATGGTTGGAACAGCATTTCGTAAACCAGTCGTCTAAAAAAAATGTAAAATCTTTTTCTTTTTACATCAAAAATTGAATTTCTTACAATTGGAAGACTTTCAATTTTACGGTTTGGTTCAGGACGTCGATTTGGAAAATGATCAAGATGAATAACTAGAATTAAAAAACAAAACATGATTTAACAAAAATAGTTCTGAGTATTAAACTCTTTATATAGGCAGCAAAACGTTTTAAATCTAAGGTAGGCTCAACAGTTTTTATAAAATTCCTACCAATCCAACTCACATTTTGCACTGTATAAAAATAGTATGTTTCATAAATTCTTAGCCATATACACGGTTAGCAACCGAAGGCGAAGGAAACTTTCGACAGACTGTACTTAATCTTACACCGGATTTTCTGTATAGTTCTTCACTTGTAACAAAGGAGTACTACTTCAACTTGTTAGCTATGTAGGATTCAATATATAGTCCTAAAAAATTCAATATTTCCTCAAGATCGTTTTCTAAATCTGCTTCACTAAGTCAATGCTATTACTTATAGTCGAAGACGATGAAAAATGTTGACATTTGATAGAAAAAATTTCGATGCACTGCATAAATCTATCAATTGGAGTGAATACGAAGTGAATGTTTAAGTCTACAATATCTCAATCTAGAGTAGGCAGAAGCTTACACAAGACTCGTGGCTCCACCGTCTATGAATATAACGAGTGATTGAAAAGCTTTTAGACAAGATGTTTGTTCATTTTTGACCTACCAGAAGATATTTCCGATGAGTCAAAAACTATGATTTTGTGATCTTTTCGAATATGAACTTAGGAATTGTTTTCGAGAGAAGTTAAGTACTCTTTTAAAAGATCTGAAAATTTATTTTTAATGATGAGCCAACATGTTTTAGTTTACCATATAAATTCCTCTTTGAACATGCGAAAAAATGTTAGAGTCAATCGTTTTCTAGAACAAACACCTCTCTACAAAATATCCTATCGAATTAACTAAAAAACCTCTTCAGGTGCTCTCTTCTGATTTCAATGATATTTTTTAATTCGAGATACAAAATAGTGTTCTAATAAAAATTCTAAAAGCATTTCACTTCCTATTGATATTTGACTCAGTTATCCGGTTTTTTTTCTAAAGGTGTCAGAGTCTTGAAAAATATATTCTATCCATGAAAAAGGGTCTATATCGTAAAACTCTTGTATTTCGAAAAGACTTTATTGAAAACGTCTGAATTTTTTAATGAAAGTTAGTGTAGTAGAAATCTCTATATGCACAAAGTGTCAGATCAAAATTAAAAAAAGACGAGTTTTGCGAAAATCTAGGGTCTCTAGAAAAAAGATATATTAAAAATTTCACAGATTAATCAAATATTCATAGGAAGGCAAATCTTTTTGAAGTTTTTATTATGACACTATGTTGTATTGATAGGTGAAAATCATTGAAATCGGAAGAGGAGATCTGAAAAGGTTTTCTCATACGCTGTAGATTTGACCTAATTAAGGCTAGAAGCATGTTTTTCAAAAACTTCTTTCAATGTACAACGGTTGTCGATTTTTCATAAATGAGTATTTACGAAAAGCGAAAATTGAAGTGCCACGTCGAAAGACAAAAAAAAACTTGAAATAGTGTATGTTGTAGAATAGCTACTGCTCTACAAAGTAATATATAAATAAAGATGCTAACTTTTGCTCTCAAACCGTAATAGTGAAAATACAAAAAAATTTTCATTTAACCTAATTTTTTGGACTTTCCAAAGATTATCTCACTACTCTCGAATAAAAATTTCTAAGTCCAAATCAAAAAAAAAAGTACAAAGTCATAGTTTTTGACTCGGCACAAATACTGTCTAGCGGGTTAAAATTGAACAATATCTTGTCTAAAAACTTTTTGATCATCCATTATTATAATAAACTCGAGAGAGTTTACCATTTAATGCTTAATATTTTTTATAATATGTTGTATTAGATTGTAAAGCTAACCTTCGAGACGCATATCAGGTGGTGGTGATTCAGCATTAACTGTAATATATGCAAAATATCGATCGATTAATTGTTCCTTTAAAGACATTTCTAATGGTGGATTAACAGTAATTATATTTGATTTTCGAATTTCATTAGTATCTATTAAAATACAAAAAAATATTTATATTTTACATAATCAATTATAAATAAAACTAATACTTTTTAATTTTGCTTCAACATGTAAAATATATCTTTTTCTTTGTTGAGCACCATGAAATTGAATACCAAAAAAATCATTAAAATCTTTTTCAGAAATCTAAAAAATTAAATCAACACAAAATCAACAAAATATTTTTATAAAAGAAAACAAAATATAACTTACAGTTGTTGTTTCAATATTGTCAACATAAACAATATATTCATTAACATGATCACCAATATGTGCCCACATTAAAAATATTGTACTGTCTTCATTTGATACAGCTAAACTTATTAATGGTGCACCACCTTGAATTTCTCGTTTGATTTCAAATGCCTATAAAATAAAATAATTTTGAAAAATTGTTTTTTTTAAAATGACTTATGATATGAAAACTACTCGTTTATTTGATGGAATAGGTTCAGCATCAACAATATTTTCTTTTGGATAAGCAACAACATGTATTTCATATTGTTCACCACCCGCAAAACCTTCAGCTGAAAATTTAACATCAGCTGATGATAAATTTACTCGTTGTGGTACATCATCAACGTATAATTCAAAATGATCAATGAGATCAGTTGAATTTGTTGGTTCAATTTCAATTTTTCCATATAATTTATTTGGATATTGTACTGAAGCTGAAATTGTTATTTTTGTATCATTCCACATTGATAGAAGCTCCTGTTAAACTCAAATAATATTAAAAATTATATCATGAAAATAAACTCACTTTTATCATTTCGAGTTCTTCATTTTCCATAACAAATGTTGGACTAAAATAATATTCACCATGATAAAGAAATTTAGCGTTTATTTCAATTATATCTTCTTTTTCTTATTTTCTACACTCAAAAAGCATTGAAGCTCGTACATCTTTTTGTTCCATATTGAAGCAAACTTGAAGTTGTTTCTTAAGATTTACGGTGAGGATACAAACGAAATCTATACTAGAGCTGTTAACAAACGAGACCGAGAACTGATTAAAATTGTCGATATTCTTTTAGAGCTGAAGAAGCTAAAAGTTCAGCAGATAGTACTTTCATCCTCGAGGTGCTAGAATTGGTGATCATCGACGGAAAAAACGAAATCCGCCGTCACCCGGTTCCCTCTCACGAAGTACTTGCCACTAGGCCGTTCCTTCCCAATTCTATTCACCTTCCAACGGCATTATTTATTCAGTTTTCTTTCACTTTCTACTAGAAAAGGTAAATCATGTTTCAAAACCTATGTTCTGCCCAAGGTTACCATGAAACTGCAAAATATTAGCAGAAAATCGCACCTCATCACTACTAATCGAGAACTCTGCCTCGAATCTACACCTGATGATGAGACTGAGGGTAAGAATTGATCCACTGGGATTATGACTTTTGTCTGATAAATTAGAATGCTTGCTATACTAACAAAATATATATCTTAAGAAAAAATAGATTCCAATTGCGTCTCATTATTCAGAAAAATCCTAATGTTAAAACAGATTTGATGTTTTCTTTAAAAATTTTTTTTTTGCATTAAATGCAAACATTTGAATGCTGATTTAATTCGATCTTCAGTTCTTGAAAATGTATTCTCAAACAAACCTGCTTGTAAAAATAGTACTTGATAATTTTTCATTTTCAGTTGCATAAGCACGTAAAACATGTAAACCTGATTTCACTAAAGATATACCTTTACTTGAATCATAAGTCTAAATTATAAATTAATTAAAACTTAGTTAAATTTCAAAAGTTAATTTTTACATAAACATTTTTATAATGTCGTGTTGGAAGTGTTCCATCAAGAGTATAATATATAATTGCATCTTGATTTGGACATTGCAAATGTACCTGTGTTCCATATTGACTTACAATATCAATTTCTTCGATTAATTCAGGTTGTTGTGCTCGTTTTTCTACATATAATAATAAGTGAATAAAATCATAATTGAAGAAAAAAGAAAAATTTGTACTTTCACTTCGAATGATATTATCTGGATAGACAATAACAGTTGCGGTATCATTAAAACGATTCGATCGAATAGTAAATTGTCCACATTGATCAAACGTATATAAATAATGTACATCATTAATATATTGTTCAATCGATCGATCAATAAGATTATTCTTATATAGAAATAAGATTTTATTTCTCTTTTAAATTACAGTACCAGTCAAAAACACAAGATCAATATATCTTTGATTTTGTTTTTGGATAGCAAGCATTTAATCCAAATCCAAATAGTGATTTTAATAGCCAATGAAATTCTCTATTAAATGTACTTCATTGCCGACAAGGAGAAGGAGATCGTTAAGCGATGAAATTTGTCTGCTCTTGAAATTAATTGTCATACTTTCCCAACAGTCAAGTCACATGTCAAAAGTCGATTGTCATTTGAATTAGTCGGTTAGCTATCATTTCTACTACGCATGGATGACCTAAAACTCGATATTATTTTTATCCCCTAGAGGGTCGTGGTATGTAATGTTCAAATAAAAAGTTTTTGTTCCGTTTTCAGCACTTTTTATTTGAATTATATACCAAATGACATGTGAAGCTTGTCGGATTGATTCTGCACCAGGTCAAAGCCGAGCATGAATTTTTTCCGTTAGTCAAGTCCAGACATTTTGGATTCGACGTAGTCTGGTGCGATGTTATTCTTTCCTCGATCGGATGACATATAGGAACATACTTTTCCCTCCTATGACACTATATAAATAACAATACACTTTCAATTATGTACTGTTCAATATCCTTTTTGAAGCTCTATAAAATGATACTATTACATCGTATTTAATTTATGGATGCGATATTTCACTCAAATGTAAAATATTGGAGTGCATCAAATATTGATCTTCTTCGTTACTATGCAACTTTAATAGAAAGGCTTTCTATCCAAAGAAATGATATATTTGAGTCAGCATAAAGACCTGAGTCGATCTAGGTGTGTCACAAAATGATCTATCAACTTTCATTTTCCTTCAACAATTGAGCTCTGGTTTTTCTCAAGGATATGCCGAAAAATAAATTCCGTTGAAACATCAGCCTAACTATCAAAAAACAGTTGTTTATTTTCAAAAAGCTATGAAGACTCGAAATGACAGTTGAATAAATAATAAAAAGAGAAGCTTTGATTGAGTTTACTTTTGACATATGCGTGAGGAAGATCATGACTCAATTTTGAGAAAAATCAAAGTTGATAGATCATTTTGTGGCATACGTAGATCAACTCAATTTTTTATGTTGATTCAACTATATCATTTATTTTGATTAAAAAATCTCACTCTTAAAGTCAAACATCAACCAAAAAGAGCAATATTTGGCACTTTCCAACATTGGTCATTTGAGTGAACTGTTGTACCCACAAATTAAGCTTTATGTAATAGTAGCATTTTGTAGATCTTCAAAAGGACTATCGAATAATATGTAATTCAAGGTGGACCATGGTATATATAACACCATAAAAGAAAAACTTTGTTATGGGTAGCCTTATACTAACTACACGAAGGATTAATGCCATTCAAGGAAAAAAGAATTGCTGAAAATGGAACAAAAACATTTCATATGAACACCATATACAATCACCCTAAATTAAATGGACAATATCGAGATTTAAGTCACCCGTGCGCAACTGGAATGACAGGTAACGGATTGATTCGAACGGCAATCGACTTTTGATGTTTGAATTGACTACTGCAAAAATATTAAACTTAATAATTTCCAAAAGGAAGGGGAGAGGACAATTTCATCACTTGACGACTTTCTTTCTCTCATAGTCCATTCATGAAATTCTTGATAGAGAACTTCATTGTCTCTTCAAACCATTATTTGAATTAGAATTGAATGCTTGATATCATAGAACAATATCAAACATAAGTTGGTCTTATATTTTCGATCAGTACTGTAATAAAAACAATTACTTCATTCGTTTCTCGTTTATTTTCATCTGATTCAACATAAATTTGATGATATTGATCATTATTTAATAATATCCATGAGACGGTATCATTCTAAAGTACTGTTTCTTTAAAAAGAAAATTAAAAACTAAGAACTGTCTACCTGAGCGATATATAAAACATTGGGAATAAATTGTTGATCAGTAATAAGAAAACAAGCATGGCTAAATGGTGGATCGATAATAATTGTCGATATAAGACGATCCTTTTAAATGAAATTAAACTTAATAATTCATTTTTATTTCTAATTTACCTGATCTGAATCGGTTACTCGTTCAAATTCTAAAGAACAAAATAAAAGTAATTAACTTCATTTAATTTTTCTATAATTTCCTACCTGGATTAGCAAAATGAAATGTTCCAGGCATAATACATTCAACTGCAAGACATTGTCGATTTCGACCAGGTATAGCACGATCATGACATGACACTAAATCTTGTAAAGTTTCATTTGAACGTAATTGTATAACATTAAAACGAATTATTTGTTCAAATTGCCAAATAATAAAATCATTAATATTTGTTATTATTGCTTGTGAATCAAAATCACTTAAACGAATTAATTTATAATGAAAACGAATTTCAGGTAAAACAATAATTGCTAATGGTGGTGATGCGCAAGATTTGTTGTCATGATCAGAACTAATATCCGTTGAAAAATAATAGATTCCAGTTTGTTGAAATTGTTGCATGAAATAATTAATACTATTTAATTGTGGTTGAAATACTGATCTGTTTTCTTCTAAATGATTTCCATATTCATCTGTTCTATAGATATTTGTTAATTTTGTTGATATTGAATTAAACCAAACTTGATCATATCTATTAATAACTAGTGTATTAGGCTCAAACATGTTTTGTTCATTAGACGTAACACGATGATTCTATTTAGAATAAAACAATCAATAATCAAAATTAGAAGTTATTTTTTTTGTTCTTACAGTAATAGTATTTTCAACGACAACACTTAAAACAACATCATCACGATTATCAGAATAAGAAAAATTATAAAGACCATGTTGTGATATATTAAGAATAAATGCTTCGCATGTATGAAAATGATGACGAAAAAATGGTTCAACTTTGTCACATTTATGCATAGCTAAAACAAGTTTTAAGATAAAGAAAAATATATGCAGTTTGCCAATCAATAATCTGTTTCAGAAATGCAGACAGATTTGCCGAAGAAGACTCTTTCTCATAACATCTATTTCATATATACTTCACATCGATTGAGATGTTTTGTTGCTTGGTACATGAAACCTTTTTTTCTTTTCAAGGCACGAAAGAAAAAAATATTACAATAAAGAACTTTTTTTTAATGATGAGATACACATGAAAATGATACGATAGATAAAAAATGAAAAGAGATGTTACTAACACCTTCTCTCGAACGACTATACTGCTAAACAGACAAGCGACTTCAAATACACTGGATGAAGGTTATAAATAAATGGCAAAACTCAATCAATCATATATACTTATAGTAAAACGAAAGTCTTAAACGTCTGCGATGATTCCATATTTGACACAATATAGTCACGAATGACATGTGTCGTATTATTAGAATTAATGCTGTTAAAACGCACCTTCTATTTTGTAGCCATTTGCTAGTATATTGATGGATTGTGGGAAATCACAACTCATTTGATCAATGCATCTATCTTTCGTTCAAGAATTTTCGATATGACTTAGTGCTAGATCATGAAAAAAAAACTGAAGACATGATCTTAAAAAAATATAAAATTAGAACCAATTAGTTAACTTTATATGAGATGATTCTTGTTAATCTCTCATAGAACTTTTTTTTGAAAAAAAAAACAAACAATACATTGATTACTTCATCTTTCTATTAACTTCAACACGGGAACATTTCGATAAAAATTAATAACGTTTCTATAGCAATCAAGTAATAAGCAACGTCATAGATTCTTTTATTGTGTTCCATTGAATTTTTCTTCAATATTATTTGTAAGTATGCAATAACGAAACAGAATAATATTTAGTCAAGAAGCCAAAAAAAATGTTCGTAAAGCACAAAATTTATTTTCATGTCGATAGATTATTTAGGGTAATATATAATTTTCATACTAATAAATTTTCTCTTTTGTTGAAAAATTTCTATATCTAATTAACTTACAACAATTAAATATTCCTGTAAGACCACCAGCAGTATCTGGTACAACAGATGAATTGGCATCAATAGTAATTAATATTGGCTCATCTTGTGAATCAGTCATTTTCCATTCAAATTGAATTAAATCAGTTGTTTTCATTTTTAAAACTAAATATTAAATTAGTGTTTCATATTTTATTCATTTCGCACTTACTTAATTGATCGCCAAATATTGGAAACGAATGAATATTAATTTTTGGTTCAACAATAATTGTTCCTATTTGATTATTTGCTGTTTTAAAACAAAAGATGCCTGTTTCATGAAATTTATGAATCATATAACCACGGCATGATGGTTCATTTGGCCAAAAGAAATGTTCTCCTTCTGTCTTTAACTAAAAGGAAAAATTTGAATTTAGTTTTTTATTTATTGATTGATTTTTTTTGTTTTCAAAAAAAAACAAAACAAACTTCGATTGATTGTTGATTTATTTGATCGAAAATAAAAGGTTCGATTTGTACAATAGTTTCTTTTTGTGTTGTATTCCATTCAAATATAATTGAATCATTTTGTTCAATTGAAATAAGATTTGGTTGAATATTTGTATCAGTTATTTCAATATGTTTTATATGATAATTATCTTTAATAATACATACAATTATATCATGAATTTGATTTGTTTCAGTTAAACGAAATAAAAATGATGTACCAAATTCATTAAATATTTTGGTAAAATTTCCTTTTGATAGGGCACGATTTGTTGTTATTTCTGATGTTTGTTCAACTTTATAAAGACCACCAGATATTGGACAATATTTTTTTTCTTCTATACGATAACCATTACCACGCTTTGATGTCCAATCAAGTTCAATAGTATCACCTTTATGTAAAATTAATTTTTGACTTTCTTTATTATCACTTAAAGAAAATTTTATTTCACTCTTATGAACTATAATGCAATTCTTTTCACAATTCTCATTTGAATATTTCCTTAATTTTAAAACAACACCACTTTGTGATGATGGAATTATACAAAAATATAGTTCAATTTTTGATCGGTGAAGACTTAATGAAAGTAAAATACGTCTATTATTTTTTGTTGTACTATTTTTTATATTATATAATTCAAAACCATTATTTATTCTATAATAATCAACTCCATCTTTATAAACTTGAAATATATCATATTCATCTGTTTGATTAGTTTTAAATTCAATCGTATCACCACTTTCAATGCGATTCGGCATTTGTTCAGGAAATGAACCATTACTTATGTCTATGACATGAATTACATCTTCGTCATCATCATCAGATTGAAGACTATCATTTGGCTTATGATTCTCTAATGAGGCCATGAAAGTTTATGCTAAACAAAGGAAATAGTTGTCATGCTGTTTTTAGTTTTATTAAAGTTTGTTTTAATTAAAAACAAAGAAGTAACAAAAAAAGAAATGATGAAAAATAAAACAAATTTTGTTTGAGACCAACATTTGAGTGTTTGTTTATTTACCTGCATAACTCTAATGTTTTTCGCGTGGATAACTTTTTTCGAAATTGCCAATTCGTCATCCATAATTATCAGTATACAATTAGAAAACAGAGAGATAAGAATAAAGAAGTTTAAATCACTCATAATTCAACATCCTGAAAGAAAATGAAATTATTTTATCATGCAAGAAATTAAAAAAAACATGCGTATAAACATAAATAAAAGATAAAACATTCAAGATATTCATGCATGTATATATATATATAATTCAAACCTTTGTCGTATTTGAGATTTGTTTGATGTAATGATACTGTAAAAAATAAAATAATGTTTTTTTGTTTTTTTGCGAGTGTTCGTTTTTTCGATTAATATTTCAATGCATTTACACTTTACATCGAAGTTGCTAAGCAATAAACTACAGAAATTTTGAAATGTTATCTTCAATGATTATTATGATGAATTATATTCTCGAAATTTTCTGGTAATATTTTATTCTAACTTTCAATTTTCTTGTCTCACTTTTAGTTATACACAGATGGCAGTGCTTATCAATTCCATTCATAAAACTTTGAGGGATTCTTTAGGTTTAATTCTCAATGGCATGGATACAAAAGTTTGTTAGTGCATCCTCTAAGGAGCTGAAATAGGACTCGCATGTGTTCTTCAGTTTCATTAAACTAATACAAAATATGCAAAGTGAAAAATTTCTGACAGGTTAATCGTTATCTACGGAGAATTGGTCGTCAGAGAAACGATTTTCGTATTTCAAGCAGAGTTTTTTTTACTAGCACTACTTTTTCTTTGACTGGGTGCTATTCATTTTTGTATTCCGTATTTCTAACTTTGACATGATTATTCGTCTAACCATTTATTTAACTGACAAATGTCTGTTGTATACTTCCATTATATCTACAGCAGGTCTCAAGTCACTAATATATATCTTGACAAGCGCACAAATAGTTATATTGGTTATTCTCTAAAGTAATAACTTGATATAGTTTACGCTTCTTATGTTGATCATATCCCTAGTCGACTTTCCCCAGACAAATCTCCAGGGAGTCACCGATATTTTTGGAAATCCTTATCGGGAATTCCCGAGGAGTTAAAAAACAAACTAAAGTTTGTAACGCAATATTTTTGGAACATCCAAGAAGTTGAAAAAAAAAAAGAAAAAAGTTCGGGGAATTTCTTGGGGAGTCCCTCAAAAATCTTCAGGGTTTTCTTAGAGAATCCCTGGAAAATTCCCCCAAAATGTTTGCGTTTTTTCTCAAAATCCTGGGTGTCCCTAGAAATATTTCGTCACAAACTTTATTTTTTGCTGTTAAATTCCCTGGGAATTTTTCTGTGGAAGGTGGACTAGAAATGACTGATTTAGCAAATCAATGCATTACTGTCTATCGTTCTCGACATCTATCACATACTTTTTATCTGCGCAAAATCAGAAATTGCACTATGTAGAATGTTTCAGAATTTTCTAGAACTGCTTCACTCTTGTCATTAATTTCATTCGGCGCCTTTTTTCCGTTGCTAAGAAGCTCTAGGAAAGAAGGAGACCCTGTCGGGCCCAAAATTTTTGTACTTGGGCCCGGATCCATCCGCTTGAAATTATTCGGACCCAGAGTTGGTTAGTCATACTGTTTTTTTTTATTCGATCCAGCCGTACTTTATTAGTCTCAATGGAATATTTCTAATTGGAATTGAATAGTCCCTCAGAAAAACTATATGGTACTTTTCTCCGATTTTTTATGTTCGGTGACTATCGTCTCATACCTATGTCTCAGACGACTAAAACCCGTTGGATTCAACATTACCGAACTCAAACTTGATCTAGAACTAACCGGATTTGGATCTGACACCAATTCGATGCACTCTAGCAAGGGGTCTGATTCCTGCTGCTTCTTGATTGCTACGGTGACATACCAAATGATCCCTGACATCTTCCTCCGTTGCTATGAGGGGGCGGGGAAGGAGTCACTAGACATCGACTTGGAACCTCTGACGACTATATTTTCCTTCCAAGAATATAATGTGAGTTGCATAAAATTTCGCTGAAAAACTCTTGTGACGATTAAGAAGTTGTGAGAAAACTAGTATACAACAGGAGAAAATATGTCTTGTCTTTGCTCATTGCGTAGAGCACAATACAGGAGAAGAAAGAATGAAGTTGTTTTGCGGCTTTCCTTTTCGATTGATTTATTACTATAAGGTTTTGTAAGATCTTAATCCTACTTGTACTTTGTCTGTATCACAACAACGTATCGACTATATATAGTACGATACCAAGAGGGAAATATTAATACAACGCAAAAATTCCCTAGATGATGAATAAGAAAGGTAATTCTATAAAACCAGCTGGAATAAAGAAGAATAGACGAAAAGAAAAACTTCAATATATATATATATAACAGAAAGGGAAGAAACCTACAGATACAAGAACAAGAAAAAGAACAGGAAAGAAAACAACGGAGAACGAAAGAAAAATATCATGTATAATATCATCTAGGCAATAACTCTTATGAACTGCATTTGGATAATGTGCAGGAAATAACAGGTTCGAGTAAAGAATTGTTCGTGATCATTTGTTTCAACTTTATTACCTGACATAAAATATTGACGATTTTTATGCCTCAGTTTCCTCACGAGTACTGGACTCCATGACCGTCAATGCCACAATTACCTTTGAACATTACCCTCACCAACTTTTTTTAAAATCTAAAACAAGATGTATATGGACAACTTGTTTGAAGATGCTACGTATACGTATGTATCTGTTGCCACTTGCCATAGACATAGTGTAGAAAAGTGAAATTTCACAGAGTATACAGAAATAAGAACTAAAACAGTGCTAATATTATTTCGACAAGCAAATCCAATTTTTATCTGATAGGTCGTATTCTATAGATAGTCAAAAAACATGTTTTTTGAAATTCAAACTAGCTTCCAATGTACAGCTCTGGGGAAAAATCCCCCTCCCCCCATCGCATCTCAACCGTAATAGGAACTAAAGATCTGAAAATTTGTGTTCATATACTCCACCAGTGATGTAGGGTAGTGGCATTACCCACACTCGAATTACTTGAAGGGAAACAGAGTTATGATGGACGGTGATAATTTTTAGATCTGAGCATCATCGCCTAACAAAACTGCTTACTAAAAATTGTCTTGTTTCTAATCAAATACATAAATAATTCTGAACATTTTTACATGAAAATAAAGTCCAGGCTATGTTCTTTCTTCGACCAAAAGATAAGCTCATTTGCTCGAATACTGATGTTTCCAGATCGTGGACACTAGCACTATGACCATTAGTGTGCCATTTCTCTCCAGTACAACATTTGATTCTGAAAGTTGTAGCCAAAAATGCCAAGCTATGGAGAAAGCTGCTCTGCAAGTTTCAGATCAACTTATTGAACTATCATTGAGTTATGGACCTTCAAAAGGCGATAGATGCTTTTTGCATACCGACAGTTACAGTAAAATGACAATGGTTCTTGCATAGGCTGACAAAGTTCCATGAAATTTGTATGACAGATAGCTGAATAATAGAACTGCATAATGATGGGTCTGCCGACCTACCATGTCCTTCTTTTACAGAGTTATGAAACTCAAAACAAGAACTGATACCGTCCATCATAACTCCGTTCACACTCAAGTAGTCGATATGCTGTTGATGCCATTGATCTACATTCCTTGTGGAGCATGTGCATCCAAATTTTCAAATATTTAGCTTCTATGATGATTGAAATCCAAGGGGACGATAGACTTATGCCTAGGGCTGTATTACGAGTAGGCATGCATCAAACCTAAACCGTTTTGGATTGGTAAGTTTAGGTTTGGGTTTACTACATCAACTTACTAAACTAATTGAGTTTAGATATAATGCCATTGTTGTCAAGTCTCATCTGTATGCTTAAAATTTTATTTTATATGGATATAAGCAAAAACATATTTCTATGCTTCACATTGCCAAGCACTAAAATAAAGTCCTTCTCAATCCTGAAAGAATAGCTTGCAGAATGGATATTTTTGATCAATTTGCCTAAGGTCTGATTGATGGAAAATTGAGATAACTTTTCTTACTTGAAGAAGCGATCGTTTGATGGCCTGTTGTAGTGAAACAACGGTTTTAGGTGGTAAGGAGCCTAAATTTGAACCTCATTTCCTTCGAAACTATATTGATGAAACAAGAGCCAACAGAAATTGACATTTTGCAGAGATAGTCTCCTTGGGGTAGTTTGTCATTTGATAGTACAGTAACTACGTGACTGACATACACAAAGTCCTTGTGGCTAGTATGTGCACTGTAAAAAGAAAGGTATTTTACCGAACCCTTAAAAAAGGTTCCGTAGATATCTACAAGCGTCCAAAGACGTCCAAAGTCTCAAAAAAAGGACAACAAAATATACGAAATCTTTAAAGATTCTTCCCGTGTACCCAGGGGAAGAACCTTCTCCGACGAAATCTTTTTCAAAGTTCCGTACAGCAAGAAACGGTTTCGTAGGAAAAATACGAAACCGTTAGAGTTTTGTATTAAACCCTACGAAATCATTAGAGTTTAGCGCGAAATTCTAAAGGCTTCGTATTTTTCCTACGAAACCTTTTTTTGCTGTACGGAACTTTGAAAAAGGTTTCATTAGAGAAGATTCTTCGCCTGGGTACACGGGAAGAACCTTTAAAGGTTGCGTATATTTTTTTATCCTTTTTTGAGACTTTAAACGTATTTGGACGCTTGTAGATATCTACGGAACCTTTTTTAAGGGTTCGGTAAAATACCTTTTGTGGAACGCGCATGTAGTTTCGAAGCAAATAGTGAGTGTAAGTTGTAAGTTCGAG